CATGTATACATGTACATGCATGTATTGGGGGAAATTGTACAAAAAGAGACTTCTTTTCATTTTTGGACAAAAATTGGCTCCAAAGTCACTCTAAATTTTTTGAAACATTTTGATGCCCTTATGCTATGTAGAAAGTTTGAGCTGATTCTGACAAATATTTTTACCTTGCAACTGGTTGAATATTGAGTGCTTGAGTTTACCAACTGACTCAGGACAGACCCGTCCCAATAGCTCAATAGTCATAGACCAGACACCCAGTAAGACACACACTGCCAGGGAATGACTGGCCTCACAAGATACCATATCCTTTGATAGAACTAAGAGGAGGAGGACAGGAAGAGCACATGTACATACAATACATGATGAATGCAAAGAAAATTGATATACATGTACATGTACAATCTAAGTTCAACTGAGATAAAAAAGCAATAACAATAATAATAAGATAATCCCATTATCTGGACTCTTGAAAATAACAATAAAATTAATAATGAGATTTAATACACAATAATTACATGTACATACTGTACATGTACAACACAGTCTCTCTCAAATGGGAGAGTTCCTTATCTATAGATGCATTGCTATACATACTGTACTGTACACTGTACATGTAAATCAAAAAGTACATGTACATGTACATGGATATTGTTCACTACTCACTGAATTTCATGTCTCCACTCTGTCCCTCTCTTTCATTTCCATTGACCTATTGAGTCCAATCTGTACTGGGATAGGTGCTAACATCAAGTAGTGAATCTGAGGGGGCGGGACAATGGTCTGTGGCCACACCTTCAATATCTTCTGAATACCTCTACCTACAATGTGTAGAACTATTAAAATTCCCTATGCCACCAACTTGTCAAAAAATCTAATTTTGATTGGAATGGGCTCAAACTTTCTACACAACATAAGTACATGTACATGTACATGTACATTTACTTGTGATAAATGAAGTGCCTTTCTGAATCCAATAATTAAATTACATTTAAGGTCACAAGTGCATGTATAGAAAACAGACAAATGCACATCTGTACATTTGTACATGTACTATACATGTACATGTGTATACATTAATTCAATAAAATATCAAACAATACTTAGTAAAAATAACTAATTATATCATTTGTATTATTTTCACTTATGAGTCTCGTCGGTGAAATTTGTTATCTTTTTGAGTACGTCAAGTTCAACCTGCTGACACCCACAGAGCAAAAGCTTCAAATCTTCAGGAGCCAAACCTTCCTATAGTAGTAGGGAGGGCATCATATAAACCAGACTTCATTGACTAAGAGGGGGAAGAGAGAGAAAGAACAAAAAGACAGAAAGAAGAAAGAGGAGAAAGAATGACCCAGTCAACATGGCTATTACCCTCAGTAAACCTATCCTACCCTGGAGTGGTTCTTCAATTATCTTTATCATCCTACGTAACTTACTCAAAAACTCTAACCATTAGCTCCAGAAACACTACATGTAAATTAAAACCAATAATGTATACATGCATACATGTACATGTACTCACAGGCTGAGAGTGTGGTATCCTTATAATGTTCAAAATTACTCTTCCTCCTTTCCCTCTCAATAGAAGATGGTAATACCAACCTAATATTAAACAATAATACACAATTATTATTATTATTATTATTATTATTATTATTATTATTATTATTATTATTATTATTTTACCTCTCAAGGCTGTCAACCTCATAATCACCTACTAATATTTTTTGATACCTAAGAATAATGAAATTAAATACTGCAGAACATGCACAGAATAGAATATCCAATAAAAGTTTTGTAAATAAAAAATTAGATTGCTTGTAGTACAATGTCCACATAAATTTATGTGCTAGTACTTGGAGGTACATGTACATGTACATACATTAATACAGTTTATGT